GGTTCAGGGTCCACTTAATGTGGACATGCTAGTTCGAATTAGCAAAACGCTAATTCGAACTAGTTTTTTAGTCTGGATCCGTTAGTTCGAATTAGCTTAGTTCAAATTAGTGCTGTAGTGTAGACATACCCTCAGATACCTGAAAACTGCTCTCATGTCCCCTCAGTCTTCTCATTTCCAAACTAAACAAACCCAATTCTTTCAGTCTTCCCTCATGGCTCATGTTCTCTAGACCTTTAATCATTCTTGTTGCTCTTCTCTGGACCCTCTCCAATTTCTCCACATCTTTCTTGAAATGCGGTGCCCAGAACTGGACACAACACTCCAACTGAGGCCTAACCAGCGCAGAGTAGAGCGGAAGAATGACTTCTCGTGTCCTTCTCACAACACACCTGTTAATGCATCCTAGAATCATGTTTGCTTTTTTTGCAACAGCGTCACACTGCTGACTCATATTCAGCTTGTGGTCCACTCTGACCTCTAGATCCCTTTCTGCCGTATCCTTCCTAGACAGTCGCTTCCCATTCTGTGTGTGTGAAATGGATTGTTCCTTCCTAAGTGGAGCACTTTGCATTTGTCTTTATTAAACTTCACCCTGTTTACCTCAGACCATTTCTCCATTTTGAACGATGACCCGTCCTCCAGAGCAGTCGCAACCCCTCCCCACTTGGTATCATCTGCAAACTTAATCAGTGTCCTCTCTATGCCGATATCTACATCGGTGATGAAGATATTGAACAGAGCCAGTCCCAAAACAGACCCCTGTGGAACCCCACTTGTTATACCTTTCCAGCAGGATTGTGAACCATTAATAACTACTCACGGGGAATGGTTATCCAGCCAGTTATGCACCCACCTTATAATAGCCCCATCTAAGTTGTATTTGCCTAGTTTATTGATAAGAATCTCATGTGAGACCGTATCAAACGCCTTCCTAAAGTCTAGGTATACCACATCCACCGCTCCTCCCTTATCTACAAGACTCGTTATCCTATCAAAGAAGCTATCAGATTGGTTTGACATGATTTGTTCTTTACAAATCCATGCTGGCTGTTCCCTATCACCTTGCCACCTTCCAAGTGTTTGCAGATGATTTCCTTAATTACCTGCTCCATTATCTTTCCTGGCACAGAAGTTTAACTGACTGGTCTGTAGTTTCCTGTGTTGTTTTTATTTCCCTTTTTATAGACAGGCACTAGATTTACCCTTTTCCAATCTTCTGAAATCTCTCCTGTCTCCCATGATTTGCCAAAGATGATAGCTAGAGGCTCAGATACCTCCTCTATCAGCTCCTTGAATATTCTAGGATGCATTTCATCAGGCCCTGGGGACTTGCAGACATCTAAATTTTCTAGGTGATTTTTAACTTGTTCTTTTTTTTATTTAATCTTCTAAACCTCCCCCCTTCCCACCAGCATTCGCTATGTCAGGCATTCCTTCATCAGACTTCTCGGTGAAGACCGAAACAAAGAAGTCATTAAGCATCTCTGCCATTTCCAAATTTCCCGTTACTGTTTCTCCCTCCTCACTGAGCAGTGGGCCTACGCTGTCCTTGGTCTTCCTCTGGCTTCTAATATGTTTATAGAATGTCTTCTTGTTTCCCTTTATGCCTGTAGCTAGTTTGAGCTTGTTTTGTGCCTTTGCCTTTCTAATCTTGCCCCTGCATTCCTGTGCTGTCTGCCTATATTCATCCTTTGTAATTTGTCCTACTTCCCATTTTTATAGGACTCCTTTTTATTTTTAGATCATTCAAGATCTCCTGGTTGATCCAAGCTGGTCTTTTGCCATATTTTCTATCTTTCCTACACAGTGGAATAGCTTACTTTTGGGCCCTTAACAATGTCTCTTTGAAAAACTGCCAACTCTCTTCAGTTGTTTTTCCCCTCGGTCTTGCCTCCCATGGGACCTTACCTATCAGCTCTCTGAGTTTACCAAAATCTGCCTTCCTGAAATCCATCGTCTCTAATTTGCTGTTCTCCCTTCTACCATTCCTTAGAATCATGAATTCTATGATTTCATGATCACTTTCACCCAAGCTACCTTCCACTTTCAAATTCTCAACCCGTTTCTCCCCATTTGTTAAAATCAAATCTAGAGCAGCTTCCCCCCGGTAGCTTTTTCAACCTTCTGAAATAAAAAGTTGTCTCCAATGCAGTCCAAGAACTTATTGGACAGTCTGTGCCCCGCTGTGTTAGTTTCCCAACATGTATCTGGATAGTTGAAGTCCCCCATCACCACCAAATCCTGCGCTTTGGATGATTTTGTTAGTTGTTTAAAAAAAGCCTCGTCCACCTCTTCTGCCTGGGTAGGTGGCCTGTAGTAGACCCCTAGCATGACATCACCCTTTCTTTTTTTACCCCTTTTAACCTAACCCAGAGACTCTCAACACGTCCGTCTCCTACGTCCATCTCCACCTCCGTCCAAGTGTGTTCATTTTTAATATATAAGGCAACAC